CACGCTCACTCATACACACACACACTCATACACTCACACACACTCACACGCACACGCTCACTCATACACACACACACACTCATACACTCACACACACATTCACTCACTCACACACTCAAACACACTCACACACACACGCTCATTCATACACACACACTCATACACTCACACACACTCATACACTCACACACACATTCACTCACTCACACACTCAAACACACTCACACACACACGCTCATTCATACACACACACTCATACACTCACACACACTCATACACTCACACACACATTCACTCACTCACACACTCATACACACACACACACGCTCACACTCACTCACACACACACACACTCACTCTCTCTCACACACACACACACACACACATGTAAATGATGTTATGGATTGTTTTTCATGTTTCTGTGTGTGTGTGTGTAGTGTGTGGATCTGAGCTGTAACGAGCTGAGTGAGATCACTTTACCTGACAGTCTACCTCCTAAACTCCAAGAGCTGGATCTGACGGGAAACCTGCGGCTGAATCTGGACCACAAGACCCTCGAGCAGCTCAAGTAAGAGCACGTGTGCATGTCTTATACTTCTGCCAATTTCTTTCTTCTTAAAATGAGTGATATCAAATTAACACATTAGTTCAGTATCATTAATTACAAAAATGATGCACAAAAATAATAATGCTAAAAAAAAAAATCAGCAATAAGGGATTTTCCTACAATTGTAAAAACATGTTATTTTGCTCAGCGCATTCAATTCAATAGGTTACAAAATGTTACGAAAATACATTTAAAAAACGTTAATTTATCAAGCCACTTCTAATATCTGTCCAATGCTTTCGACATAATCTGATATAATAATGTCTTTGAAATGTCTTCATTTGGGCCAGTGTTATTTTAGTATCTTTGAGATACGATTGTAGTTTTTATTAATATTTAAATTTTAAGGTTTTTGTAATTTTGTTGTGTGTTTGAGATTTTTATTAGTTTTTGTTATTTTTTTATGTGTCTAAATAGTTTTTATTAATGTTTGTTTTAGTTTTGGTTATTTTTTATATCAAGTTTAACTAAACTAAAATGAGAATTGCTGCATTGGCAACTAGATGGAATAAAAAGTGGTCTGTTTTTCCTAAATACATAGTGTCTCTCAGCATCATGTGCCAACAAAGGCTCTCTGTAAAACACTTCAGTTTGGTTTCGGTGGCTTGAAACTAAACATTTCTCAAATTTATCAGCCACTGGGGTTTTAATGTTTTATTTATTTGCCAAAGCCATTTTACTCGCTTATAAAGTGTTTGTTTTGGACCATGCTTGTGTATATGTGTGCCATTCAATAATACATGATATCTTCCACATCTTTTCAGTAACATCCGCTGTTTCCGGATAGACCCGCCCCCTTCCTCGTTCTCAGCCAATGAGGCGGCAGGAGGGCCGGCTGTCTGGAGTCACGGCTTCACCGAAGCCTCGGGCGTCAAAAACAAGTGAGTGTGTTGTGGATCTCAGCGCTCGGAGCTGCTGTGTGTGTCGGTCAGTGACCGTGTGTGTTGTGTCTGCAGACTGTGTGTGGCGGCTCTGTCGGTGAACAGCTTCTGCAGCAGCAGAGAGGCTCTGTACGGCGTGTTTGACGGAGACAGGAACGTGGAGGTGCCGTATTTACTGCAGTGCACCATGAACGACATACTGGCCGAGGAGCTCCACAGGACCAAGAGCGAGGAAGACTACATGACCAACACCTTCCTCGTCATGCAGAGGTAATGCACACGCAGCGTGTTAGCGTGTTAACGTGTTAAAATGACTAACACATTCAGACCTGTCTGTCATCTTACATTGATGCAGCGTCTGATGATCATGATGCAGGACGACTGACTGTGTGATGAAGCCTATTAGAATGCAGTTATATGAGCCTAAAATTCAAGATATGAGCACAAAACAAAAACAAGCTCTTATATTTCTATCATATGATGTAGTTTAGCAATATCACACCAGCAAGTGTGCTGATTTTCCCCAATCTCTCCACCCTTGCAAATGTGATATTGATTTGGTACAACAGTTCAATAAACAACACTATATTGTCAAAATTGTCAGTTTTTTTCAATTTTGCAAACCGAGTTCCAAAGTCAGTGATTCAGTGACTCATTCATAAAGATAAAGTGAGTCAGTGGCTACGTTTACATGCAACCAAATAATCAATTTGTAATCAGATTGATGGCTCAATCGGACTGAAAAGCCTTCATGTAAACACCTTAATCGATCCGATTGAGCTCGATCGGAATTAAATTTCAATCGGATTGAAGGGGGTGGTTTATTCCTTTTCTAATACGATTGAGAGTGCATGTAAACACTCGATCAGATTGAACCCCGAAACCGAAAGCACTGCACATGTGCAATGACGCAGAAATAGCGTAATGACGTATGACGCGCAGAACGAGCGGTTCTTCCTTTTGAATAAAGTGTTGTATAAATCTGTGTCCTGTCATTATAAAACTCTCCTTTCACTCGGCAACTGTGAAGTGGAGCAGGACAACCTCCCACCAGTCCTTGTTTTGGATTCTCATCCACAGGCAACCCGTTTTGGGAGCGGGGAGGGGCATTTTTACTGTGTGATAAATATGAGCAGCACGGCACAGCAGTTTATATGTATATTTATCCATAAATGGATAAATATTAATTCTGCTGTTAAAAACAAATAAACTGTGTAGGAGAGTGGTTATTATGTGCAAACAGGCTCGGCTGTGAAGTGGAGCAGGACAACCTCCCACCAGTCCTTGTTTTGGATTCTCATCCACAGGCAACCCGTCTTGGACACGGGGAGGGACATTTTTACTGCGTGATAAATATGAGCAGCACGGCACAGCGGTTTATATGAAGAAATGGATAAATATTAATTCTGCTGTTAAAAACAAATAAATACACCGTGTAGGAGAGTGGTTATTATGTGCAAACAGTGAGAAACTCTATATTTGTGCAGTGTGCGCATGTCAGAAAAAATCTATTCCGATTTGAAGCTTGTCACATATAAACGCGCACATCAACCCGATCACTTTATTTAGCGTTCATGTAAACACTACATTCAGATCCATCAATTGGAATTAATTCAGTCTGACTGAACCAAAAATTGTGCATGTAAACGTAGCCAGTGATTCAGTGACTCATTCATAAAATCACCTGCTGAGTTTCTGAATGAATCAGCTGTTTGAACGAATTGGTTGAATGAATGATTCAATGACTCAATCATTAAGACAGCGACCAACACCTACTGGCGCTTTTAGTTTCATATTTGAAGCATCATTTCATTTTTTTTTCAGTTGATTCATATTTACATTTTTTTAAATTCCATTAATGCCCATTTAATATCATTATTTGTGCAATGTTGAATCAAAATATTTCTTTCTAAAGCAAATTTTTGTAATATCTATTCAATGCTTTTTTTTTTTTCATTTAACACAATAATGACTTTGTTTTTATGTGAATTTATGTGTGATTAATTTGCACTTAATTTATCGGCACATCTTGTAATTAATTAGATTAAAAGTTTGAATCGCTCAATATCCCTACTAAGTATGTCTGTCCGTTCGCTCTGGGTTGAACAGGAAGTTGGGCACAGCAGGGCAGAAGCTGGGCGGTTCGGCGGCGCTCTGTCACATCCGGCACGACCCCACTGACCCCGCCGGCTGCTTCACCCTCACCGCCGCTAATGTGGGCAAGTGTCAGGCGGTGCTGTGCCGCGACGGCAAGGCGCTGCCGCTGTCACTGCTGCACAACATCAGCATCAAGGAGGAACACAACCGCGTGCAGCAGCATAAAGCCATCATCACTGAGGTACGAGAAACACTTTCCACCGGCACTGAGGTCAACATGAGATGAACGTTCATTTCACTGTGTTCCTGATCTTATTGTGTGCACCCTATTCCAAAGAAAAAAAACTCTCGTTCATCAAAATGTAATAACTTCAACTATTAGTCCATCTTAACCAATAGCTGTTTGAGGTTGCCTTTCTGGGATTTCACCAGTAGTTAATGCAGTAAATGAATGCTGTTTAAACGACACTAGATTGGAAAATAACATTAGCATTGGGGTACGTGGAGGCTTGCATTAAGATATTCTGATATGAAACGTCACATTAAAGGCCCACCCTACAGTTTTTATTAGTTAATGTGAATCACATTAAGGAAATGAATTGACATTTCATGTTGACTTTCAGGTGGATTTGTTGCTTTTATTAAAGTTAAACGGATCGTTCACCCGAAAAAAATATATTTTGAATTCAAAAATCAAGTGATATTTGAAGAATATTTCAGCTCAATAGCCAATGGAGTCCAACAGTTTCAGGCTCCGAAAAGTAGCACAAAGTAGTCCACACAACTCTTCTGAATCACTTTGTATGATGAATGGAGCATAATTTAAGTTATTCACTCTCAAACTTCCTGAAGCGAGTGAGTAATATTGAACAACAACTCAAATTTCGACTTCAAACCATATCGCTTTAGAAGACCTGGAGCAAAGCCACTTTTATACACTGTAACAATTATTTGTTGTGAATAAAACAAAGATTATTGGAGTGTTTTACAAGTTACTATTTCAGTCTTTGTACTAAAAAATGTCATGGTTAATTTAATGTGTTACTTGCCATTTCTTTCTAATTATTTGTGAAATTTACTAGAAAAATCCTACACCAGTGTTTTCAGTGTAGTATGTTTATCTTGGAGCTTGGCTGTTCGTTTACAGCTGAACTGTTCTTCAAATCTTCTTTTGTTTTACACAAGTAAGTCATACAGGTTTGAAGCTGAATGTTGGGGTGAGCCATCCCTTTAAAAGGGGTCATGACATGGATTTTTGACATGGTTTACTTATAATGTTAATTATGTTTTTTGCACACACAAAAAAATATGTGGGGAAAATGCTTATTTTCAACCCTCATTCTGACCCTCTCTCTAAAATGATCTGTTTTAAAGGGGCATGTCCTTTAAGGTTTTTCAGTAATTGGCCACTGTTATGATTGGCTAATGCCATTGCATAGGAAACAGAATCAACGCCCCCTCGCTATTGCATGTTTTGACAACATAATCAAAATAAAATGGTTATTTCCAGACAAAGCATTATGAAATCATTTACTTACAGTTTGTGATGCAGCTGCAGTCAGATCTAGTACCGCTTCATCTCTCAACAGATGTTTCTTTGTGACTCTCCATGACACTGTGCCTCGTTTACAAAACAAAATCCTCCATAATCCGAACAATCTTCTGACACAATCCGGGATGCCATTAAAAATAAACTATCCCCTTGTTCCTTACGCTGGGATCCTTCTGTTCTCAGTAATCGGCCACTGTTATGATTGGCTAACGTCATTGCATAGGAAACAGTATTAATGCCCCCTCGCTACTGCATGTAAGTGTTTTGACAAAATGATCAAAATAAAGCGGTCATTTCGAGAAAAAGCATTATGAAATTATTTACTTACATTTTGTGATGCAGCTGCAGTCAGATCTAGTACCGCTTCATCTCTCAACAGATGTTTCTTTGTGACTCTCCATGACACTGTGCCTCGTTTACAAAACAAAATCCTCCATAATCCGAACAATCTTCTGACACAATCCGGGATGCCATTAAAAATAAACTATCCCCTTGTTCCTTACGCTGGGATCCTTCTGATATCTGTACAAAGACGTGAACGAGCTGTTTAAACCAAACTCGACAAAGCGAACGATCTTTCACTGCATTTGTCCTGAAGACAGACTCATATCTGTTTACTGTATCCAGTGTAGGCAAGATAGCGGCACTGATTGTAATTTCTATTTTTTGACGCGAAGCGACTCTCGCATTCAGCGTAATCAAGTGTCAGCCGTTAGCAACTGAACGCCAGTGGGCGGAGCCTATGCTGAGAAGATGACTATTCGTCGATGTGTTGCTCTGGAGGCGGAGTTTATGCAAACGACTGCGCCCTTGTGACGTCAGCTTGTCCCTCGGATCCAAAACAAGCCGTTTTCTGAGGGTTATTACATAAATGCTTTTTTATTGACGATGAGGACATTTTAAGTTATGAAACTTGCTATTGTATGACACCGTGTCCTAACTACACGCGATAAAAGGTATCTTTTCCATGTTAATCAGAGTTTTCGTCCTAACTAGCCGCTACGGTGACACACGAAATTTCTAATTTAGAAATGGTTTCTATTTCTGTGACGTCGCGGCTGGAACAACATACAAGCTATGACAGCGATACTGATTACTGTGCTTTATTCAAAGTTAAACGTGTCTAATGTGAGTTTGAATATCATTTTGCGTGACCTTATAGCCATAATGAAAGCAACAACAAATCGTATACCTCAGATCTTGAAAATAATTTAAGCAAAGATGTACGTTAAAACTGTGAACTCAGTGCGAACCAACGAGTGTATTCCATAACAAAGATGGTATCAGACACTCAGTATGTACATTTACTGATGTTAAAAGGTTTAATATTTATGAATTAGATTATAAACATAACCATTTGTTGCGAGTGCAGTGAGCTTCCAGAGAGAGCCCGCCCACATGTGCTTCTGATTGGCTGTGATATTTGATTGATTCTGTCACGTCTGTTGTGGACAGCCAATTTGTTAGGACACGGTGTTAAGCATACAAAGGCCTCTTCTATGTCAAAAGATCCAGGGAAACTTGGTTTCGTGTCATGACCTCTTTAACTCACATGAACTTATTGTTGTATTAGAATAAGAGTTACTGACCACTACGGCAAATTCCCCTTCTCCAACAGGACAACAAAGTGAACGGCGTAACAGACTCCACACGCATCATGGGCTATTCGTTCCTCTACCCGGCGGTCTTGCCTCGCCCGTATGTCACCACGCTCCCGCTGACCCCCAGAGATGAGTTCTTCATCCTGGGCAGCAGAGGTCTGTTTGAAGTCTTGGACCCTAGCGAGGCGGTGGAAGCCGTACGGAAGGTGCCCGATGCGCTGGCGGCCGCCAAGAAGCTGTGCACGCTGGCGCAGTCGTACGGCTGCACCGATAGCCTCAGTGCCGTGGTGGTGCAGCTCAACGTAGCGGAAGACTGTTGTTGTTGCTGTTGTGCGGCGTCTGCGGAGCCCGGCTCCGGAAGCATGCATGCGCCGCCGAGCCCCGGACTGTTCCCGGCCTCCTCCGCCGGCGTGCCTCCGTCCTCCTGCAGCGAGATCAGCTCCGAGGTCAGTGCGTCCGAGATGAGCTCCGAAGTGGGATCCACCGCGTCCTCGGACGAGCCGCCGCTCCTGCTGCAGGAGGCGCAGCTCCACCTTCATCCGCAGAGCCACCCCAACCCGCGCCTCCCCTGCTGCTCGCTCCACCTCACTCCCAACTCCGGAAGCTCCTTCCAGAGGCAGCTTTCCAGCGCCACCTTCTCCAGCGCGCTCTCGGACAACGGCTTGGACAGCGAGGACGAGGAGCCCATCGCCGGAGTCTTCTCCAACGGCAGTCGGGTGGAAGTGGAGGCTGACGTGCACTGTCTGCTACCCCTGCCTCCACCTCCTCCACCCTGCACCCCAGAAACCCCGGAGAAGCTTCCGGAGGAGGCTGGGAACCTTGCGGGAGCGGATGCTTGGAGCAAGACCTTGGGGAGGCAGAGGGGAAACGGCTCGGTGGCACCGCAGGAGCAGAGCCACAACTTGATTGAAGTGGCGACTGAAGCTCCTTCTAAGAAACCTGGGGGTTACTTCACGGCGCCGGCTCAGCCCGACCCCGACGACCAGTTCATCATCCCTCCGGAGCTGGAGGAGGAGGTGAAGGAGATCATGAAACAACATCAGCAGGACCAACAGAAGCCGGCTAATAGCGAGAGACCTGCGGACTACTACGACACGCCGCTCTGAAGCAGGCGCTGCATTCTGTCATCATCTACTCATCCTGATCTTGTTGGCTTTAATCCACAGTTCTTGAACGTAGGGCTGGGCGATATAGCAAAAAGTTTTTTTTCAGAACGTTTGACCGATTCAAGATAATGTCGATTTTAACTAGTCAACTTGAATCATGTTGTAGTTATGTTTTTAAGTAACATTCACTTTCTTACAAACTTGCAAAACCATCCATTTAAAGAAAGTTATTTTTCAAGCGTTCCACACGCTTTAGAGGTCGACTCAAAAGATCAAGGCAATTCAAATCAGAGCTGTCAAAATGGCTGAAAAGCTAAATTCGAATTTTGTACTTAAATATTATCAGTATTCGAATTATATTCGAATATAAAATGCATAATTTCAGTTAGGGGGAAAAGGCTTTTGGCTTCTCTCCTGGGGCCACAAGAGGGCGCATCGAGCAAAATATTACTAATGCACATTTATTCAAAGCAATAAAAATAACATGACTGTGAAAAAAGTGCATAATGTTTAAAAAAAAATGTATAAGCCAAATATAATTAATTAATTTGCGTAAACAATTATAAACAAAACAGCATTATGTTTGTATGTTTAACACAAAGGGCTGAAAGCCAATCATTTAAAAACATGAGATGTAGTGAGAAGGCCAAAAAATGCCATAAAGTCTCATACATTTTTTTTTTAAGTTGAACTTACGTTAATTTTACATGGCTTTCTAAACATGCGGCTCTTGTGCGAGGCACGAGTGCGTTCTGTGTGAACGGCTTGGTTTCAGTTTTGACGTAAACGATATCTTCTCCGTATTGATGTTCTCTTTTTCCGCAATATTTTGAATGAACAACGCAGCAGCGCTGCATCTAGTGGGTTCTGCTGGAAAGGCTAACAAAAACATTATAATGCAACAACACCTACATCGTCATTGCATTCTGTGCGCCACTGATAAAGCTGCCTGACGCACACCTAAAATTAAGATGCAACATTTTTGCATTTGAATGTGGATTTTTATTTTAAATTCGACAAATATTTTAAATTCTAATTTTTATTCGACAGCCCTAATTCAAATCAAAATGATTCAAAGTATATCAGTGTTAGTAGGCGATTATTAACAGTAAATGAAAATACCAGCAGCTTTGAGTCCGTTAGCATTATGCAAACATCAAATATCAGGCATGCAGTAGTAGTTCTGCACAAGTTTCTGCTTTTCCAGTGTTTATCTACGTAAACATGCACATGACGGACACGTTTGACCGTTGAGCATTGACGGATTGTCAACATGTCTAATTGTAACGTTTGCTAATGTTTTTATTCAAAACTGTGATTCCTCATAAAATCGTGGCAAAACATTACAATTGAATTAATCGATAAATTTGGAAAATTTGCCCAACCCTACATGCAGTCCTTCGCCTAAAACTAAAGCGTTTCTTGCACAAATGTCACTGTTTTGGAGTGAATCAGAAACAGGTGCAACAACACGAGGCTGAGTAAATGAAGACTGAATGTGGAGTATCTTCTGCAGTCAACCGATATGAATCCGTCAGTCCTCGACCTGCGACGCCACTTTCCGCCAAATCCACCTGAATCTCAACCAATCCCTTTAAGAGAGAAGGCCAGCGCTTTGAAGCGTTTCACTAGAGTTCACTACTGATCACTGACTGTTTAACTTTGATTTACCTTAAACCAATACCTACATAATTCAACACTAGTATTGCGATGCTAACTGTCATGACCAATGACGAGACTCTGGACATTTTGATTTCGTTTTTTAGTTACCATATCTTTTTATGCGAGAGAAGCTACAACAGGCTTTAAGTTGATTTAAAATCAGAAGATTGCGTTGACGTTGATTGTGTTGTACGGTACACACTAGTAAAACCACGCTTAACTGTTGTAGATAGGGCACTTAATACTGTATCTCTTCAGTAAATCAAGGCTTCGCGCCTGTATAAAAACTAGAAATTTAGTGGAAATTTGAAAGACTAACTCCTAGGAGTTGCTTACTCTTTTATGGTGACTTCGTCACTTTTTACTAATCTTCTCTGCGAGAAATGGTGATTTTTTTTCTCTTTCCAATGATTGTAAATAGGAAAAATATTGTATACCAATGCTTTTTAAGGGAACTGTGTGTCTAGAACGAGATGACTCTTTATGCCAATAGATGTATATGTACCAGAAGCATACACACACACACACACACCACCTGTAAATGAACTGTGCT